CAGAAGCAGAGGCAAAGACAACTGCACAGACAACAACGAGGATCTTCATGGTCACTGTTTAATGCAACTTTAGACTGTAAACATGATCGACACTCGAACACTTTATATACTCAACTTTTGCACAAAATTTTGCAGTTTCGTGGCACTTGCGAAACAAAGGGCTAATAAATTAATGTGATAAGAATGTTTTTTCCCAAAATTTTCCTATGACTTTGCAAAAAAATTAAACAATAGCCAAATAATCTACAAGTCCAGACAGAAAGCAATTGCGAGGTAAATGTAATATATTTAGGTCAGCTGATGTGCACGGAAAAAAGCAGTGATCAGAAGAGAAATCTTGCAGTTGTTCTTAAACCCCCTTAATGGTACAAATGATAAGAATCTACACCGCTAATTGTCGTCTCAATCGCTCCGCCGTGTTCATCCGCACAATTATCACAGTGAATCCATTAGGAGATACAGCGCCGCTGATTAGACTGAATCAATTTCACGTGTTCATCTGCCATGAACCCCTGGCCACCCATTCGGGACTCACCCCTGCGCGAGTGAAGTTATTGTGGTGTCTCCACATGCGAATGTTGGCGCATAAATATGTAAATTGCCAGGCGAAAGGGGACCCACTTATCATAAAAAAAGAGAATGCCGGAACTCCACCCTCACACGTGACGCCACTCCAGCCAATCGCACTGGGAAATCCTCTAGAGATGGCTTGCATTAGCATAAATTGCTCCCTCGCCCCGACTCCGGGTGGTTTTTTATTCTCCTGACTTTCCCCCTTTTTTTCGGGAAACAACATTCTTTTGGGGTTAGATTGTGGACTACCTTCTGACTTCACCCTCTGCTCTTCTGTGCAGATCAGGCTGACGGTGGAAGGGAGGAATCAAATATCTTAGGACTCATAATTTTACTTTTAACTCATATCTGTTTCTGCCATTTTCCACATGATAGCGCTGGGGAAAATCGCCACACAATGGCCGAATGTCTGTTCTTCACTTCTCTACGCAGCACTGGTGCCAGAAGTGGGATGATCATGTGTTAGTACAATGAAGGGACAAATCTGTGACGCTAGATTTCACAAGTAAGCAGAACTTATCCTCTATAGAATATCAAAGACCTGATGTCCTATGCCCACAACCTAGCACAGCTATTGATGACCACACACATCGTTCGTGAGGCTTCCATCGGTGCTGAGGTAATCCTAAAAGGCAAAGGCACTCGTAATAACAGTTATGAGTGGAAATAATTACAAGGAGCTGGAAAATCTTACTTTATATCCCTGGCACGACATTCACAAATTGCTGTCCAACGACAAGAGGTGGTCTTTTAACGGTGTGCTGAAAATGGAATGACACGGCATATTAAGTGTCGGCGTGTCCAATAAAAGTCTGTCGAGTGTGATTTTGGCGCGCGAGTCAATTTCGGCGATTCCACGTGCTTTGATCGATAGATTCGCCAAAAAGCGGGGGCGAGCATATCATCTCACAGTCCTGACAAGACATGTCCTTTTTCCCTCTGTCTCGGCAGGAAAGCGCGTGTGAGTGCCGTAAATCGGGCGAATTTATGCTCCTGTCACCGATTACACGTCGCGTGACAGAATCGCGTATAAATTCCCGAAGAGTCACCCAACTTGCCTCCCCCCACCCCATGTTAACGATCCCACCGAAATGGGTGGCGGAAACCCCTGGCGATTTGTCATTTTGTTCAGCTCGTTGGGGATGTTCTCAGGCCGGAAAGGGTACTTGTCACTCTCGTCCGAACCTAATGAGGCACAGGGGCAAAATCACCGGAGATAAGATTAGTGAGGAAATTATCTAAATCGACTTACAACATTGGGCTGGAAAGCGTGTGAATTTTGAGGCTGTTTTTCGCTTGATGTGCGAATTGCCGATGCTTCCAATGCAGAGCTGACAATTGGATGCACTGATTGCAATTTTTCCAAGCATCGCCAGGGGAGAATTCGACGAAAGTCCGACCCTGCGATGTGTGGGACAGTAAAAAATTGGCATGTGACATTACCTGGGTAAGGAGTACTTTCGTGTTGAGACCTAGTTAAGGTTGGAGGGAAAGAGTTCTTTCCTTTGCTCCGGTTTTTTTTTATTTATACAACCATCATTTATGCACAACTGTGCTGAGACTTTATTAATTCCCGTGACATAAAAGTATACAACAAACATGGCATAATATTTCCGAAGGGTTTGTCTTTCATGCCTTTTCGTGCCGGCGCCACTGGGTGGGGGCCTTGCGTGTGTTATTCGCTGAATTTGACTTTCGAGTGGAGTCCCAGATAACAAATGACACTTTTATTGATAAATAGATTATGCTGAATAAACATGGGTGGGCGCGGGCGGTGGGAGGGAGCCCTAGATAAAGTACCTTTTGAGCTTTGGCCGAGGACCGCCCAATTCGAGTCGCCATCACGACAAGGCGTCCTTAATTCACTTTTTCTCGTGCATCGCAAATACTCGCAATTTTCATCCCAGTTGAGCCCCCCTTTCTCATGTGGTCACTTTTCTCACACTCTTGCCAGGGCTGCAAAAAAAGCTCACGAAAGTTGGCCAACTCGAAAGGACAAAGTTGATGTAAGGCGAAGCGTCTTGCGAAGCTGGAAGGATTTCAACACACTGCATGCTGATTTCTTGCAATATTTCCACTGCTTGGCAATTAGTTTCCGAGCTAATGATGTTTCAGTTACAAGCGTCTATTCAAATTCTCATCGAGATTTCCATTAGAAAACTTACAAATGGGGAATTTGTGACTCAAGAATCAGACAAACGAGGCAATAGATATGCTTTTGGAGGTTCTTATAGTTATTTTGGCTTCAGATTTGGCCCTCTTCATGTCAATTCTCGCCAATCCAGAGGTGAAACCGCAAAGAGTGACCCTCAATTCGTCCCCGAGCAATCCAAGTGAGATAAAAAGAAGTTTATCATCTCACTCAATCTGCTGCCCAGGGATTGAAGTGAAACACAACTTTTCATAGGGATTTTCCTTTTCCTCTCGACCCAGTCGATGTTTTTTCCGCCGATGGACCAGCGTGTGTGTTTTTTGTGACACCATGCTGGGGACTTTTGTGATTTTCTGGTGTCATCATCATTAAACAAAGAAGCATCGGAGGAGCGCTTCCATCATGGCCAGAAGAGGCTGCGCGGAGGAAGGGAGAAACTTCCCAAACATCAAAAACAATTTAACACAGAAAACATTCTGGACAGTGGACGAGCGATGGTGCAGGAGGAAGAAAAAAAAGTCGCAGGAGGGAAAAGTTCCACATCACTCGAGAACCTCTTCACAGGACATTTGATGGCATGAGCGCTCGCTTAGAATTGCAAATCGAACCCGAATCAAACGCACACATTCGGCCCCATGAAATGCTCTTGCTCAATTCCAATTCACCCTTATCGCGTGGGTGGAGCGACGCTCACCTCCTGGAGAAAGTCTGGCCAAGTTGGTGCTTCACGGAAGTGTCACGGATTTTCTCTAAATTCGACGATATAAAATCGCTGCCATTTTATTTTCACCTCGTAAAATGTGAAAAAAGAAGAAGAAAAGACATTTGCCATCTTTACGGCCGTGTTTCGCCTCTTTATATTGATCAGTAAAATTCATCTCAATTTTCCTTGCCATTTTATTTTTCCTCCAATTCCCAGATGCCAAAAAATCCTGGATAACCCTTAACGCTTGGGGTCCCAAGGACTCTCTCTCTCTCCCCCTTTTGCATTTCGGGATAAAACACTGAGCCAGACCGATGATTTATGTGTCCACCCCTTGACTGCCCACCCCGTTCGCCTCATTACAATACGACTGTGTGTCTCCGGCGTCGTTCATCATCCACGAGCCTCACGGAACGTGCACAGAGGGTGGAAAGGACCCGAAGAAAAAATGAATCCCAAGTGCACGCGTCTTCCCTCGACCACATTCGCATAAATGATGCGGGCTGGGATGGAAAAAAAGGCACCAAAATGGCGATGATGATGGTTTATTGCATATAAAGGGGCCATTTCGAGGGATAATGTATGCCGGACACGTCCTCCACATGCCGTACCAACTCACCCACCGACTCGCCCAGGAATCACTGAAAAATTGTCCCTCAGACGCACCGTGACTCATGTAATTGATTGCATGCCTCCAGGGAAGGGTTGGAGCTCAAGCACAAAAGCCTTTAAGAAAGACGAAATCCGCCTCGTCATGTTCGTTCTATTTAATTAATACGGAATATTTCGTTGATTGATTGAGACATTTTCTTCAGCACCGCCACCAAGGTTTTCCGTGAATACGCAAACGAGGAGAATTAACCCTTCAACACGCCCCCAATTCTTCTAATTGCCGCCATGAATCAGCAGCGCGCCATTGTGTGGAAATTAAATAAAGAAGGGCTGGCAGAGAAATTGCATTTCACTGGGGCCCACCCAAAAAGACGCAGAGAATGAGAGTGAAGAAAAGGGGTAATTGAATGAGGCATCGAGAAGAGAAAAAACAACCCTCGTCATCGCATCGTCAATTGCTTGTATCAACAAATTAAAGGGGTAAAATCTTTGTTTGCAGTGCTAAGACTTTTTTTCAGCTGAGGTTGGATTTTTTGTGGCATTGCAGGTAATTGACTGAACCTCTTTTCTCTGCAGGTTAAAAAGGGTAGAAAAAGCATCACTGTAGGAATTTTGACTGATTATTTGAAAAATATTTCCATTTCTCTCTTTCTAAATTGCTTAAAGTTGTCTTAGACTGAAAGATTTTGCCATTACTAGACTTTTATTTGAAAATTTAATTGATAAAGCGACCTGTCAGACTTATCTTAGTCCTTCTACCTGTTTCTCGCCGAGATTGTAATCAATTTCGTGCGGACAAAAATTCCCTTTATCCTTTCATTTCCACACAAGAGCAAGGAAAAAAAATCTGACGCCTTGAGGCGCACTTTCCGATGCTTCCTGAACCCCTGAACATCTCCGCACAGTGCGCCTCATCCTTACCCCCTTCGAGAGATGGCCAATTACCTGATAGGGCAGCTCTCAAGGGTTGATGGATCTCCCATGCGATGGTGTTTTATTCAATGTGATGGAAGATTCGCCGGGGATGAATTGGACTTGATGCCACGGTGATGGATTGCCCTGGAGGGGTGGCGCTCCAATTCCACCCACATCACCAAAACTCGCTGATCTTCGACAAACAATTTAATCATTTGATTTTTTCTCGCAGACCTTGTTTGCCGTGCGTCACGCAGAACAAATGCATTTCGCCCCGAAACACGATACTCTAGTCCCAATATCGATTTCGAGGGATGAAATAATCGAGGAAGAGTGTGTAAAGTTCATCACATGATCGTTTTTTCTGGGGCCTGTTCGCATTCACATCTGCAGGCGTTGAAAATCCACGGAATTCACTGTCCATGGCGCGGGGCGAATAAGTGCTGTGCCAGCGAAACACTCTCAGCATTGACATTTGGGGATGTTTGCAGGACAAATCGGACGGTTTGGCAGATATCCTGGGTGTCCAGATAAGGCTCATCTGCGTCACCTTTCGCCACAAATCGAGTATCGATGTTGGTGACTTTTACTCCTGGATTCTCTTCGCGGTACATCTCAGCCAAGACGTTCACAGCAAACCGCGTTGAAGGAAGAGTTTTCCGCTTCTGTCGCGCAACACTCTCTGCAAAACTATTAATACTGATGATGTGTCCACCGACAGAGCGACGCTTCATGGACTCCAGAGCCTCTCGTGTACATAGAGTCAGTCCCAGGATGTTTGTGTCGTAAGTATTGCGGATTTTCGCGAATGTTTTCTGCTCGAAAATGCGAAATGAGAAGTCACGAAACATTGCATTGTTCACCAGTACGTCGGTACCACCGAATTTCTCTTCAATTTGCGCAAAAGTCTTGGATATTTCTTCTCGGCTTTGCAAATCACACAGCGATAAATGCAGATTATCACTCACTTCCTTTGGCAGAGTGTTCTTGAAGTCTTTCAGCTGCTTCGAGCTTGTTGTCAATCCAACAACAGTCATCCCAACAGTGGCCAAATCTTTGGCAATTGCAGATCCAACACCCGAACTCACTGCCGTCACAACAGCCACTCTACTGATCCACTGACTCATTTTGCGCTTCACTTTGAGACATTTCTCACCTTTTATATCTGATTTGATCGCACTCATTAAGGCTTTAATTGTCTTGGTCTTTTGGACGGTAAAAAGTTTATATTGGCTCATTATGTCAAGGTGAAATTAGGTCAATATCTCTCAATATAAACCACATTTTCAGAAGAAATTCCCACTAAACTCACTACTTGGCCGCCCCTTGCATTTCAATGCTCGCACGTGGGTTAATTGTATAGGAAGAAGGCGTTCTCCTCGGAATTTAATTGGTACAACCATCCAGAAATTGTAATTACGTCATGAGAGACACAAACATCCCCACCAAAAAAGGTGCACAAGACGAAATTTCATTCGAAAAAAATTCACTTTGGGACCTCCGTTCGGGGTAAGAAATTAAAGGATTCGTCGAGGGTTGCAGTTTTTTGTGAAACCTTCGGCGCCTGATGCCAAATTTGAAAGGAGCGAAAGGTTTATATAAATAATAATAATTATTTATCCTCCAGTTTCTTCTCTGAAGCCCTCATCGATCTCCTTGGGCAGGAGTTTTTTTTGCTGTACAGTCAGTGGAAAAGGTAGGGAATGAGTTGAAATTTACTCCAATTTGTACAATTCTCATCGGGGGTTGCATTTTTGGCTTTCCACGAAATTCATCAATTCTCTTTTCATTCGCTTTGCCGCCAAAAGCAATGAATTGAGAGGATTGTGAAGGTCCTGATATCCGTTATGACGGTTTGAGAGATCAAATGGAAATTTGGGATTTCTTTCAGTCGTTAATTTGAAAGAATGCTTGTGAGATTTGAAAGAATTACTTGCAAAACGAAGTTCTAAATGGCTCCGAATGTGTTCCTCGCAACCCTTCCATCGCCATGGAAACTCTCTTGCGCTCTTTTGGGTGCAGTAAAGTGAGACACCCACTGTGTTGCCATCATTTGCCACCGAATGGCCCACAAAACACTGGCAGAATCAACCCTCACTTTCCGCAAGGGTTGAGCTCCTGTTTACCCTTCGTGTTTGTGTGCTCTGTGCACACACTCGAGAAAAGGGTTCTTCAGGCCCAAGAGTTTCATGTCATTTTTATTACCCTTTTACCTTGGTTGTCTCACTCACTCCCAAAAGGGGTGAAAGCGAGGTCAAAATGTGTTGCCATCCAACACAAACAAACACACTAAACTGGGGGGATAATTTGATTTTAATTGTATCTGATAACATTTTTACACGAAGGGTTGTTTTTCCCTATTTGCTGAGCAACACAAAGGCTCGCACGGCAAAGGAGTTGAGAGAAGATGAGGCATTTTTTACTGGACCACCTAAGAAGGGGTTTTCTAAGCACAAAATTGCACCCCTCGCTTCTCTCTAAAAGTGAACTAATTGTGAGCTGCGAGATTTCCATTAAAATGTATATTGACACAAATTGACAGTTTTCTGCCTGAGAGAATACATTAAATGGAATTCCTCGATGGGTAAATAGATAAAATCCTCTTCTCTAGGCTGAGCGAGAGTGTCTCTGGGCCACTTATTCACCCCCATCAATTCTCAAGCTACTGTCGATCAATTTGGCGCACTTTTCAACTGACATTGTCACAACAAATTTGTATTAAATTATGATTGGGAATTTACAGAAAAAAAATTGCCCTTTTCATCGGCCAGAATTCCCTGGAATTCTGCGCAAACGGAGATGAGGAGAGATTCTTCTCTGCTGGAGATGCGCAATAATTCATGAGGCTGGAAACCCCTTTCTCTCACATATTGCACACGATCCAGGAAGAAACAAGAAGGAATTCTGGCCTACACACACCCTTTGTTCCTCCGCAGGATCGCCAGCAAAAAAAAGGGAGCACGAGAAGAAAAGAAATGAGTTAAATTGTTAATAATGTTGGCGTTTTGTTGTGCAATAATTTATGGGCTGCAGCTGCTGAGCCTGAAAAAGAGGCTCAGAGAGTGAGTTTCTCTGACCCATGGCCGGACAAAAGGGATGGTCAAGGGATGAAAAGAGGTTTTTTGGCGCAAGAAACTGCGAAGGAGCTAAACTTGCATCATTTTCAGTAGACTTAGAATGATATTTTCTCTCCAGAAAGGATTGTCAACTAATGATTTATCATTTTTCATGACATCTCTGAGAATCATAAGTTTGCTGGGAATGTTTTTGAGTGGAGTTTTATTGAGGAAAAGGACTTGGATTTGAGTCGTGAAGGAAAATATGTTAACACTTCCTGTCATCTGTTGGAAAGTGTTCCATATCGACACGATTTCCGTCAGCAATATCGTCCTTTGGGTTATAAATTATAAGCGTCAAGGACTCTTTTTTTCCTCTGGACATCCTCAGTGACTTCTTCCCGAAGTAATTTGGCCGTATTAATGGGGAAATTAAAAATGGATAAATCCTGAGAGGAAGAGGTGAACTCTATGGCTTCTTTCGTCTTGAGGGGGTGGAATATTCCAGGAAGAGAAGCCGTGCTCAGGAAAAAAATAAGCCTGTCTTGGAAGACATGGAGTGAGGAATTACGCGTAAAAATGCCCGATTGACTTGTTAATCTAATTAAGTCACTCACTGCTCAAAGGAAATTCCATTAAAGTCCCACGAAGTCTTCTGTTCGCATGCTCTTTCAGGGCGAGAAAAATGTGTGACAATTTTTTTACAACGGCCAATATTGGCTTTTTTTCTGTGGACACAAAGTCACTGGTGAGCCCATAAAGTTCCACCCTTATTTGACTCTTCCACGAAAAAGTCACAAAAACCCATGCCATATAACTTGGGCACTTTTTACTGTCCGTGTGCACTTTTTTCCTTCTACCAGTTTGACTTTTTGGTTTTTGGACAAATACACGCGCGGACAAAAGGCACATAAACTACCAAATTGGAGCGAGACTTTCCAGAGCACAAACTTTGTCCTTGCGTGGGCCACAGTAAAACTTTATTAATTTATGGATTTGCAAATTTTTGCACTTCCCTCCAGGGTTAGTTTGTGTTCCGCGTGCCGGAGGAATGTCAGCCGAAGGTCAGAAAATGACCATCCACAAATTGCTCATGCATCACCGATGAAGGGATGAATTGCCCAGAACAACTGCTGGCATCGGTTATTCCAATGGCCACGGCATCAGCGATGGAAAATTGATGAAGTCCAAACAATGCAGCCAAGGAGGAGATATTATGGCTTAACTGTGCCCAACAATTTGGCAGTTCTTACTCTATTTTTTCTTCCCTTTCGGAATTTCATAGAATTTCTAACTAAATTTAAGGGTTCTTTGACTTAAAAAGACACAATTTTTGTATTTGTGTGACTTTGAAAACTTACGGAGAAAGAGTGTTTAAGAAATATCTTAAATCTTCAGCAATTTCCAATCGCTCTTTTGGATAACTTTAAAATGACGTTGAAATATCTTTAAGAATCCATGAAAGAAACATATTCGGAGTGATTTAAAGGCAAATTTGGGAAATAATAATCTGTTTTAAATCGACAATGAACTGAAATTACCTATTTAAGAGTAGAAATAATCATAAGCAACTCTTAAAATAGATAATTTTGTATACTGAAAGAATATTTTAGAGGTTATGATCAATTTTAGCATAATTAATACAGTTTAACATCAAATTTCATTCTTATTATGCCAGTAAATTGCAAATAATATCAGCTTAGGTGCAAGAATGAATGATTTTGAAGGTTATTTAGTGGTAATATATGCTGAAAACAATTCTTTTTACTTCCAAATACTTCACAATGTTATCTCCCCCTTGACTGCAGCGCACAGAGCGAGTTGTTAGCTGGATCATGGAGTGTAATTTGAGCCTCAAGTCGCCGGGCGAACCCTTTGCGTCCATCTGGAAGAGCATATTGCAGAGGTCCAGAGGCTCTGTGATGGACGATCTGTGCTAAGGTGAGCAGCAATTAGTGGTTTACATATGGAATGTCTGACACGTGGAGTGCGGAGTCTGTGGGGACTTGCAACGGTCAGGGAGTCTCACGTGTGGCAGCGAAGATTGATCATGGTGGAATTGTTGGCCAGCGAGAGTGGATGTGACAAGAGTGGCTGCTCAAGTCTCCCTCCTTAACCGGGTGGTGACACTTTATTAAATCATTCTTGGGTTACTTTTAACACAATCTTCTCACTTTCCCGTCAGCTCGTGTTATGTGGCTCTGGGGCAAAAGGAAAACACTCCACGCGAGGGACTGAGAGGAGAGAGAAAGTCTTTGAGTGTGGAAAAACCATCGCACGAGAGTGACGAAAGTGAACTTTCGCTTTTACTTTTCCTGCCACTTTTGGCGCGCGGGTGGAAAAATCCCACCCAATTTCGTCACAAGGCTCGAGAAAATTTCATTGAAGAGTGTGTGCAAGAGAGAGAATCCCAGGCCATAGGGGCTGCCAAATCAATCTTCCATTGTCAACATCTTCTTGAGCCTGCGAGAGCGACTCTGAGAATTTTCCAACCTCCCCAAAGTGAAGGACATTCGCGCGGAGTTTGTTTTTCCCACTCGACGTATCCATCTTCACGGGAAACTTTCACCTCCGAGTGGTGACGGTGAGGAGTCACAGAGGAGATTAATTTCCAGGAAAGGGGTTGCTAAGGTTACGTCAACGTGGCCCCGCGCGTCCGAGCCGAGCATGCGAGAGTTTTTCCTCCAGAAAACGCCAGCGACAGAAAAGCGAGGGAAAAGAGTGAAAGTCGCACATGGAAAAAAATTGCCTTTTCACACATCAAAGGAAAAATTTCTGCAATTTAATAATCCCTTCTCTCACCCCAAAACTCAGTTGTGACTTCTTTTGCGCCACCGGGATTTCATTACCCTTCCTTTGAACATGACGCGATAGAGAAAAAAGTGGCGAAAATTGCAGACTCTCAGCACAAATATGTATCAAATGGGTGCAAATCCGATTGAATTACTCTTCTGTTGTGCCACGAAAGTTGATCTTAACACGCGCTCGAGATCCCTCGCCACGGCTTCTCTCGGCGGATGAGTTGAAAAGAGTTGCCGCCAAGAGGTTTCTGGGTCACACGCGCATGAGGAGGTGAATAAAGGACGACGGATTGAGTTGTTTACTGCTCGAGGGATGTTCAGAGGAAGACGAAAAAAAGTCCCCCGATCTCGAGGGCGCGCGATCTCGCAACATCATGCTCGATGGCAGAAGAAAGGGTGTAAAGGAATTAGGAGAAGGATTTGGGGTTTCTTTATGGCCAATTCTGTGGTGATGTTATTGCTTTTGGGAGAGTGTTAAGACGTAAATTATCTCCCGAGGCTTGATTTCTCAGAAGATTTAACAGAAATATTTGCTCTCCAAGCATCACATTGACTCAAAATGGCAGCTCAATCGTGTGCATCTGTGAAATGTGGCTCAAAGCAAAGAGTTGGACGATTGTCGGTACGTTTGAAATGAGATTTCTGCCCAAAAATGGGTTAATCCGCGATCACAATCAGTTGTTTGTGTCCAGTGTTATGATATTTTTGCATAAAAGTAGTCCAAAAACTGAGATAATCCGCTGCTATGACACCAAACACTCCTGACCAAGGAGGTGCCGTGATAATCCTCTGCGGAATCCTTCCTTCATGGCTCCGGGGAATCATCATGTTGCCCCATATGGTGACAATCCTTCTCCGCTTCATGGATTATCTGCACCAATTCTCCTCGAGGACTCTTTCATGGCTGGCATCTACTGTCTTTCGGCGGCTGTTCATCATCGATCCTTGACACTTTTTCACATCCTCTCTCGCCTTTTCCTCATTTCCATACACACTCTCTCTGGCCACTTTTTTTTCCTCTCCTTTTTTCCTCATCTCCATCAATTTTTGTCACAAGCGACGCCGTGAAAATATTCAAGGAATGTCCTCCGTTTCCTCCTTTTATGGAAACGCCAAAGAGACGCTGAGGAATGATTAATTGCAAACGGTGAGCAATTCTAATTATGAATATTAATTAACTATTTAATTGAGTGAATTTTAACGGATTCTTCAGCATATTTCTCCACCCGACACACTTTTTCCGCCAACAGAAGCTCAGCAAGAATGCGAAGAGTGTTAGCGAAGAAACGGTCGCATCTCTGGAAAGGGTCACATCTTGAGACTTTTTGAGAGCCCAGGCAAGTCGTCAGGACAAAGAGAACCCCTCCTGAGAGACAATCATGTCCTAAAATTGCATAAATGAAGAGTATGGGGTTTTTTTTTCACATCTTCACATGACCATTTCATCCTTTTCTCCTCAACAGAGTCCCAGAAATGGCGAAGAGAAGCAACAACATGCAGCCCAGTGATCATTATCGTTCTCCTGAGTCCTTTTGTGTGCAGATAAATGCAACAGAAGGCATCAGAATTGGAGTTCTGATAGAAATTTCGCCACTGTGAAGCTGAATGAGCGTGAAAAATGCATATGATATAAATAGATTATCCCACGGACATTGTCCATTTTCGCAACATATGTTTAATTGATAGTTTCACCACAGAAATTGACCTATCATCAGCGCTTCTCATCGAAAAGGCGACTGAAAAGGAGGGATGTGAAAGTGAAACACGAGTTTCATGAAACAGTGTTAAGAGATGTTTCAAGAATTCGCTTCGCTGTGTCTCGACTAAAAGACTCTCTCAAAATTGCTCAGTTTGAATATTTCTCTTAAAAATTCACTAGATGAACTATTATTTGAGAGTTTGTCGTGATGTTTTGCGTCAGAAGGTCTGATTTTCACTTGATTAAATTTAGCCTTTGGCCTCTTGGGGGTGTGTTTTGCATGTTGTCTTAACTCACTGATAACACTTGATTAATCTATGATGCGTGATTTCTGGCAAAACATATTTGAATTAAACCTTGAATACCACTAAGAGGAATGTGTTATAAGTATGAATTAGAGAAGAGCGTGGCATTTATTGAGGAACTTGTAATATAATAAATACATTTTTTGGTGGAACTTCATGCGATTTACACAAAAAGTTACTTTTCATTAAATTTACATTTAAATGCATTATATTTTTATACAAGAGAAGCTTTTGTGATTAACAATAAAGTTCCATTCTTGCTCTTAATCTGTTTTGTATATCTGAATTATTCCTCTCAAGTAATGAAAAACTACTGAAAGGAATTCATAACGATTGTAATGGAAAAACACGAAAGAGTTTTCTTCCTGCAAAAACTCTTCAATCTCACTCAATTTTATTTATTCTATTTGGCCTAGATTTTTTTCCATTGCGAGCATCAGAAATGCTTTCGGCATTGGTTACTAAGAGGAATTTCGATGAGATCACATGGAATTTGTCTTGAGTTTTGAACCATTGTCAAACTGATAAAGAGTAATGTGACAAAAAGCTCAACTTCCTCTGCTATGAATGTGGAGGAAAAAGCTCTTGAGAAGTCTGTGAATAATATTTACTTCTTTCCGATGCGATCTTGAGAAATTTTCCTCAGAGTAATTAATGACTTCCACAGTGTTATCAATTATGCAGAACGCACGCAATTATTTCTTTTTAATATAATGAAGAGGTTGAAAAACTTTAGCACTTGGCTCATGACTTGATAGCAGACGAATTCTATTGAATTTTCTCTTTGATAACACTTCACAGACTTTTTGCTTTCACATGGAAGTCATCTCTGACCTCAACACAATGAATTTTCTAGCACATGTTGGAGAATATATGAACTTCTCCATTGTATTGTTGCCAAGATGAGCCATTATGAGCGGTTTTCTATCGGAAAATCAACCCATATAGCAGTAAATCAACAAAAGTGTGATTGTTTATTGAAGAACGCGCAAATTAATTACATTCGTGTTATCAATCTTCTAGATCCAATGCATGTGCTAGGAATAGATAATAGTTGAACAGCAAATATTAGCAGTTCAGATACTCAATTTAGCTTCCTCAAATTTGGGGAAAATGCATTGAAAAAATGATTCGATGCGCTGTCAAAGTGACATTGACAGATATTTTACGTCATATTTTATTGAATTGAATTTTGAATGGGAGTTAAGAAAAAAAGCAAGTCTCAGCGTGTAAGAGGAGTGAGTGAAACTTAATCAGTGAGACGATTTCCTCACTGGACATAAAATCTGCCTTCGCTCAAGTCTCTCGTCAGTTCACAAGAGGCACTCAACACGATCACATCGATCAGAGGCGAAAGAGTTTCTGCGAAGAAGTGCGCAAAATAACTTCAAAATATATACTCTCTTCAATACATTTGTGCATTGTGACTTGCATTTCCTTATATACCCGCGAACCAAACTCGAGGTGAGTGACTTTTGTGGCTTTTATCCAAATAATTTGCATGACTTTTTCGCTGCAATCTCTCGCTTGTTTTTCCCGTTTTCTAGCTCAAGCGCGCATTCATAAAAACATCACATGACTCGATTGTGACCAGAATCCACTGATCTCTGCATCTCATTAGCATTTCCCATCAAGTAATTAATGGCTGGTTGGTTTTTTTCGCTCTTCTTCTCCAGCCATTTGTCCCTTGATCAGCATTTTGGGCAACAATGCATGATCTCCAAAGTGCAGTAATTAATAATTGCTCGCCCAATGCATTTTGACCTTTTTCTCCGGCTATTTGTCTTTCCTGATATACCAACATTTGAGCACCAATGATCACTTTGTCCGAGAGACTGTCGCCTCAGCATGTCTGAGAAAATCAAACATATATGCGATAAAATATGCCTTGTTGCCATAGGAAGTCAGTCAGTGGCTGATTAATCAACATAAAGTAACATAAAATCTCCCCAGGCAATTCAAGATCATCGCGATAGCCTCTCAAAGTCGCAGTGATAAGAGTGAGGATCAATTAAGAAACAATTAACGTTTGGGCGCAAAATATGATTTATGAGTGGGATGAAAATAGAGACTCGCAGAATTTCGCGCCAAATTTGATTGCAATCAGTCGCGGCACGACTTATCAGAGAGTTGTCTTAAGCCCAAGTTCGGTTGTATTTCAGTTAATGAGCGAAACGTGCCTCAATTCACGAGATTAATTGAGTGATATTTCTTGAATGACCGGTCTCGACTTAAGCCACCAGTAATGCAGAAGGAGTGCCTGGAAGACGAGTGGAATATTCCACTCTGGATAAGTCCAGAGACTCCTTTTACCTGCTGCACTCTGTTAATCCCTCTAAATGCCCCATTTGTTGCAGATCAAGCATGGGCGCCAAGAAGAGGGTGGCAGTGATCGGAGCTGGAACGGCGGGACTCTGTGCGGCCAAGCACAGCATCGCCGCCGGGATGGACGTGACGGTGTTCGAGCAGATGTCCCAACCAGGAGGAACGTGGGTCTACTCGGACGACGTGGGCACGGACAAGTTCGGCCTGCAGGTGCACACGTCAATGTACCGCGGCCTGAGGACGAATCTGCCCAAGGAGATCATGGGCTATCCTGACTTTCCCATTCCCGGCGATGGAGTGTCCTACATTCCGGCCGCGGAGATGCTCGCCTTCCTGCAATCCTACGCAAAGTCCTTCAACGTCACGTCGCTCATCAAGTTCAACCACCACGTGATCCGAGTCAGGCCTCTGGGACAGGCCACGGAGCCCCACACGTGGGAGGTGATGGTGAAGGACATGCCCAACGATGAGCTGCTGACGCAAACCTTTGACTTCATCTTCGTCTGCAACGGCCACTACCACACACCCTACCTTCCGCGCTATCCTGGCCAGGACGACTTCCGCGGACGCCTTACGCACAGCCACGACTACCGGTGTCCGGAGCCGTACAAGGGCCAGACGGTGCTCGTGATTGGCGCCGGCCCGAGCGGCATGGACATCGCCTACGACATCTCCAAGTGGGCCGAGCGCGTGACGCTGAGCCATCATCTGCCCGAGCCGCCCAAGACCAAGTTCCCTCCCAACGTGGTTCAGCGCCCGGACCCGATCAAGTTCACCACAGACGGAATGCTCTTCCAGGACGGCGTCACAGAGACCTTCGACGTGGTGCTCTTCTGCACAGGATATCGCTACACGTTCCCCTTCCTCAGCGTCGACTGCGGCATCTCCGTGGATCAGAACTTCGTGCAGCCTCTCTACAAGCACTGCATCAACATCAACTACCCAACCATGGGCTTCGCCGGCCTCCCTTTCTACGTCTGTGCGTGCCAAATGATTGACCTACAGGTGAGTGTCAGTCTCTTAACTTTAAGAGCCTTCGTCATAGTCCCTGAATCTTGGCTACATTTTGTGCACGAAACAGTGTGACATGAGCAGAGTTTGCCCAAGTACTTTTGTAGTTTCCGTAGTGTAGTGGTTATCACGTGTGCTTCACACGCACAAGGCCCCCGGTTCGATCCCGGGCGGAAACAGTTGTTTTTTTTCATATTTTTTTTCCTCTCTCTCCAAAGGTGCGCTTCTGCGTGAAGCTGTGGAGCGGCGGAATGGCGATGCCGTCGCGACAGGAAATGCTGGAGGACACGCAGCGCGAGATGGAGGAGAGATTCCAGAAACGAGGCTACAAGAAGCGCCACGCTCACATGATGGGCCCAGATCAGGGCAAATACTACGCTGACTTGGCCGAGTGTGCTGGATTGGTGCCCCTGAAGCCCGTCATCACGAAATTGCACAACGAGAGCAGCCAGAAGTTCCTGGATGACCTCACGAACTTCCGCAATGACGTGTACGAGATTGTCGACGATGAGACATTCATTCAGGTGAAGTAGAAACGCCAAGAGGGGGAAAAAATGCTCTATATGCCATTACATTACTGTTATTTTTAACTAATAAATGTTTTACACACAACGTCTTCCTTTCTTACATCCAATCCACCCTCTCTCTTCACGACTAACACGACGGATTTTTCTTGTCTTTTAAACACCTACAGTTTCCCTCTTTGCACTTCTCTGCACACACTCGCGCTGGCCCTAATAATACTATCTAAGGAAAATGAAGGGTTGCTATTCGCATTAAGTGGACTCTCATGCTAAAGTGTGTATATAATTAATTTACAACTATATCATATATAAATGCAAATTACCAGATTACATCTTTGTATAATGAATTTTCCATTATGATTGTTACTTTCACATTATCCATCTAATTAAAACTTTACTTTACATATAATAATGTTCCTAACTTTGCAGTCAAAAAACGTGTGATTCTTCCATGGATTTTCCCTCTCTTTTGCCACTATCCTCACTCTCATTAGCACCTTGATATTTGTTCAATCCTTCACCGTTCGCGAAAACACTTTTTCCTCCCCTCTTACACCACACTTAACCCTTGAGTTTTCCTACATCTTTTCTTCTCACATTTCCCACAATGTTGCTCAAAGTGATGCTTTTAATTCTCATCCACTCGATAAAATGTACAGTCTTTAAGCACTTGAGAGAGTCGCTCTCAATTTTGTGTGTGTGTGTTTGTGTGAATTCAGTAGCGTGCAAAAGTATTTTCCCAAAAAAATCAATTTGAACTCACATAAAAGAGTATTATTTTAAGAATTTAACATTAATATAATTTCCAATTTGACAATGAATCATGGCAAAAGGAAAAGAAAATCAATTCCTTAATCTACAACGAAGAAAGTGAACTCAACAACCCAACAATTGGCAAGAACAATATCCATATAATCATAAAATTACTTCCCCATTTCAAAAAAGAGGGGAACTCTGCACGCCACTGCGCTCCACCCCGTCGGCAATTAAATCAAATCTCCTCGCAATTATCTGTGTATGTACAAAGATTGGAAAGACGGTGGAAAATTGCCTCCTAACAGTGATGGAGAGATTTAATTGTGGGAAGAATGATAAATCTAGCATGGGAGAATTCTTAACCAGCTAAATCGACTAATTTGATTCCCATTTCGCACTGCACTTCTGCTTTTTTTTTGATTAACCTTCCAGAAAAATGATACAAAACACACTCGTTGAGTGAAGTGAAAAACAAAACGAGAAAAGAGCAAATATTGCACAAAAATCCACGTGGGAAAGGCAGAAATTTCAATCACTCATTGCGCGCTATGAGAAAATTATTCCCTTAAAAATGAGAACAATCAATTCCTGGGGATCTCCGCGAGCCACACCCACTCGACCGAGCCGTCCAACAATTGATTCTCCACACAGTAAACTTAGCCAAAAAACATATACTTAAACATATCCGATAGAAAAAAGAACTATGCGTACAACAGTAATTAATAAAAGGTAAAGATTGTCAATAGAACGTGTAAAAAGAGCACAACACTTAAGTAAAAGTAAACTTTGATGGTCTTTTGCACGGCTCGCACCTCACAACAACGATAAGGAGGGTCACAGATGAGATTGATCCTGCCCAGAGTTCAGCAGGTGGGAAGTGATGATGGCGCCTCTGTGGGCTGCTTGATGTCCTTGTTCTCCAGCATCGACGTGTCGGGCTCCTCGTAGCTCTGCAGCACGCACGAGATGATCTTGCTGTTGATCTCACCCACGGCATCCGCGATGGACTTCTCCGGCATCTTGGGCGTCTTCTCGGCCTTCTTCGGGGCATCATACTTGCCCTTCGTCACCACGATCGTCTTATTTTCCAGCGACTTCTTCTTGTACTCATCGGAAATGATGACCAAACGACGCCTGGACTGATTGCTGGTGCTCTTGCGGGTGATCTCCTTCGGTGACTTGTCCCTCTTCGTCTTCTCCTTGGCGACAGTGAGCTTCGGACGGCGCGACTCGATGTCTTTTCTGTCATTCACAATAATCACCTCCTGCTTCGTGGTCTCATTGAGAAACTCATCCGATATTATAATGAGCTCAATGGAGTTCATGTCGCTGAACTCCGACGGACTGCCTTCGGAGAGATCCTGCACGGACTTGGACAGCACTTTGCCATCCTCCTTCACGCACAGTGTCGCCTTCTTGTTGTCCAGCGTCATATCATCCACAGACTTGCTGTACATCTTGCCGTCCTCGCTCTTCTGACTCTTCAGCACTTTCCTGGCGGCCTTCTTCTTCCCACCACCCTTCGAAGCGCCCCTTGCGTGCTCCTTCTTCGCGCAAATCACACCCGAGTCCTTCACGTTGAACCGCAGCGCGTCTCCCTTGGACACGAAGTGCTTCGTCCCGTTGGCGAACTGCAGCTCATGCGACATTCCGCCGTCACAGCGCACGCTCACGTCCGTGAGCTTGAGGACCAACACACGCCGTCGGTCCCCCGGCACGTGCACGCGCACCTTGTCGCACACCTCCTTCGTGGCGGCACTCACGAGGTCCACCGTGACGAAGTCCCTGGCCGGAGAGTCGCCCAGCGGCATCGGCTGGCGCTCGATGGGCTCGCGCGCACAGCGACACGCCTTCACCTTCAGATTGATCTCGAGCACGCTGGAACACGGGCAGTCGCCCGGCTTCCTGTCGCGCGCCACGCCGCTCGTGCACGACATGCGCACCGCGGCGGCGTTCGTGGCCGCGACAGAGACGCCGGGCGCCTGATGCTAGAGCAACTTCTCAGTCGTAGAATTGTTGGTCGGCGATGAGCTGATCGTGATGGAAGCGTGCAGAATGTCGTCACCTGCAGAGAAACATTAATAATTTCATTTTCCCCCATCGGAAAAGCACAATTCTGTATTTTCCAGAGGAAAACCGTGAAGCAAGAAAAGATTCTCCGACTGAAGTGAATGCAATGGGAAATTTGAGCTTCTCAAGTCGCACGAAAATACGATAATTGAAGCAATGCGGCGACTTCCCTATTTGCAAAGAAATGTAAAAATCTTAAGCACAGCTTGTAAATCAGCTGCAATTGTGTAGAACTATCAAGAGACGCAAAGTCTCATCAAATGTAGGTCTCCTGATTAGATAAAAGGAATGATATGTGTAGTAATGGTCGTTGTTTTGTAGGCATTTCTCGTAGCTTCGCATTTTTTAGCATGTTAAGAAAAAAAAAATATTCTCTCACTCCAGACAAAAGCAAAAGCTGATTGTTTGCGCTTTTCCCACTTCACTTTTCTTGCCAAACGAGCTCAATTTCAGCTCTGATTGCGCGCGCCACGTCGGAAGAACAAAGGCGCGGCGCGCTCGGTCTGCAATCGCGTCACACTTCTCACTCTCAGCACAACTCAAGGGAAGCGAAAGGGAGAGAGACACTCACCGGAAGCAGCCTCTTGAGCGCTGTTGTTGGCGGAGTTCTGCTTTTGTCAGTTGACCAGCTCCACAGAGATGAACTGCTTCAGCCTCTCGAGATACTGACTGTACATCTCCACGTCATTGTGGCCGGCGCCCTCCACCCACAGCGGCTCCACGGCGCGCGGACACTTCTCGTAGATCGTGACGCCGTGCGAGAAGTCAATCACCTCGTCCTCCGTGCCGTGGATCACCAGCACCGGCGACGTCACCTTGGGCACCTTGTCGATGCTGGGGAATGCGTCGAAGAACCACGTGCGCTTCGTGGCGGGAAAGGCCACCCGCATGCCAGACATGAGCGGCGAGTGGAGTATCACGGCGCCGACCTGGGAATCCGTGAGAAAATCATGCACTCACTGAACTGCACCAATTTTCCGACTCACTTCACCCCAATTAGAGCTGAGAGTCGCTCAGATGAGAGATTCGCGATTGTCTAATTTGTCTAATTCAAGTGATTTCTTCTTGAGACTTTGACGCTCACCTCGTATCTGCTGGCGAGATCCACTGTGGGCACCGTTCCGATGCTCTGGCCGTAGAGAATGATGTTCTCCGGGCTGATGCCGTAGCGCGTCCGCAGCGCGTGCCACGCGGCGTCGATGTCCGCGTAGAGATTCTTCTCCGACGGCTTTCCCGTGCTCATGCCGTAGCCGGAATAGTCGTAGCTGAAGATGTTGCAGTTGATCTGCTTGCCCAGACTGACGAAGAAGCTGGTCATCTGGCCCAAGTCCACGGCGTTTCCGTGGCTGAACAGCAGCGTGAACCTGGCGGCGAGAGACAGTGAAAGGGGATTTGCGTCATCGCGGTGCTTCCCGGAGCTCGAGGCGTGAAGTCGAGCGACATGGCGAATTAGTCAAGGTTGGGACAACATTAGAGAGTGAGTTATGCGGAGTCGCTTATCTGCGCGGGCTGTTAAACTCTGTCTTCGTCGTTTCCTTTGTCAACCGTCGCCCCCAAAAAGAGCCCGTTTGCCGAGGAAATTGCCTTATCTTCCTCCGCAGATAATGCGCGCCCAGTGGCAATTCTGGCCACAGTGCTTCCCTGGGAAATTGGATACGGGATTTGTCGTCACTCTGAGTCAATCGATAGCAGCGATAATTGGATTAATGCTCCTCATTAGCCCCTCAACGGCTTATTATCGCCCGAGGCGCGAACAGATGGCAAACACGTCGCGGAATCCCAGCGAGACGCGCTTCCTGGTCACCAGGGCGCCCGTCCTTGGACGCCCCACCCCTGCGGGCGTGAGTCAGGGCGCGAGACAAAGGCGCCGGAAGGTGCTCTCTTACCTGGCATTCGAGCTGCAGCGGACGAAGAGACAGGCGATCCGGTTGCCTCGCGTGGAGCGCGTGAAGAAGGCCTCGAAGAACTCCTTCTCGCGCTCAGAGTACTGCCAGTCGGCCTTCTCCAGCAGCACCAGGGCGTACTTGGTGGCGGAGCCCTCGTCCGCCTTCAGCTCGTACGACACCTCTGGCGGCAGGAAGGCCAGCTTCGACGCGATCCGGCCAGGGCAGGGCGGGCAGCAGAAGAGGCAGCACAGCTCACTGAAGCTCAGCCCGTTCATCGTTTTCGCCTCCGGTGGCATGTCTTGCAAATATTTCACCCCACGAGAGAGTCTCACAGAACCGCCCAAAGCACAAAAACACTGTATTTCCTGCCCTCGCCACAGACACTCCAGGATTTGCACACACTGTCACTGAGCTGCGCCAGAAACACACACCGCGGCGCTGCTGGCGATTCTCCGACAGCAGCGCCCTCCCGGCAAAGTCGGAGCGAAACATTGCGAGTTATACCAGAAATCCGTTAATCTGTTAACACTTCAAGAAATCATTTTACATCAATGTGTTCAAAGAAAAAAAAGTATTCATAAGAAAATCGTCATACTATTCAATACAGTTTATCTTTGGAAAGTCACCAATTTCCCTCAACACATCCTCATCAAATTGTATTAATTGTCAATAATTAAAGAGAGATAAGAAAAAAAATGTAATAACGAGAGGAAAGCTTGAAAACCCGTTTCTAAATTGAAACAAAATGTATCAGGAGAAAAAAGACAGTCAAAGAATTTGCATTTCGAGCATTTTCCGGGATGGAATTTCACTCCTGAGACTCTGGGATGATCTGTGACAATCTTTACACATTGAAATGAACTGTGAGACAGAAAGAATGTCACAGAAAGATAATGTTTTATATCATTCTCCTTCTCAAAAATATTGCATTTCGAAAATACAACTTCACTATAGCGACAATCTGTTGCTATCGTTGCTATGCAGCGAAAGAACCTTATTAACACTTGAGAGTTCTTTCTGGTTGTTTTTTCATACCAATTAGAATTTCCGCCAAGACTTGCTGCGATGGATTTTTATGGTTGTGCATCATCGCGAGCATCTGCAATTTAATGAGCACATAATTAATGCACTTTGAACTTGATTGGCTCAATAAGTCTTTGAAGTTTTCTCTTGAAGGGAAATATGTAGGTGCTTGAAAACTTTCCAAGTAATTTCCTTATGAGATAGTACAATAATTGCTAAAAAGGCTTCCGCTCTAATTAGGATCATTAAATTAAGCACTTATGGAGAACAATTTCTTGAGGGATAATTTGATCCATAGTAGAAAATTTATGCAAGATTTCCTGTGCGAAAGTTCATAAGTTTGAGACAAAGAACTTCAACTCAAGACACTCACAGAGTGAGGCAATCATGACCTCGCTTTCAATATCTATACGGCTGTATCAGAATTGCCAACAAGCTCAACTTTTGGGTCTTACATGTGGATTAGGTTCATGGGAAACTTTTTGCGAATATATATACAGTTTTGGGTGGCAATGGTGAAAGTCAACATGAGATGGGAACAATTTCACCCCAGAATTTGCATAGAATTAAATTTGCAGCTCTAAGACCGTAACTGATCGCCTCTTAATATGCAGTGCCAACAATTTGAGCAATTTATGGGGGAAAATGTGGGGGAAGCATTAAAATTACACGCCAATCCGGTCACTTTCCATTTACTACATTGAACACACATCTAATGATAAATTTTACATCACAAATATATTATTCACTGCGAAATTAATGGGTTTCAAACAATGGAGATCAATGAGGAAGGACAAAAAAAAACACCAAATAATTTATTGAAGCAGAAAATGAATGTCAATTACTGTCATGAATAAAGTATTTCTGCTTTTTCTCTAATTACCATTTTATCCTGCTTGTTATCCTGTGAGTGAAATTAAATTTCAAAAAAAATCCCTGCCAAACCATAAAGTTTTGTCCATTTGAAAACACCATTCACAAAAACAATATTCATGCTCTTTTATTCAAATGGCCTGAGAAAAGATGAAAACTCTGTCTTGCTAAAATGCAAATTGCAGTTCAACAATAAGAATTTTACGAGAAATTCAAACAGCTTTAATTTTTCAGTCGAACATTTTCCGCGCAGGCTGAAAGTCAAGCACGGAGAATACACAAATCGACAGACATAATTCAGCTGCTCGTGTCGCGATATAGTGCAAAATGCAAAAATGTTTCACAACCAGAGAAGAGCTTCGCCCGTGTAAATTAATTGAATTTGCATTTGCTGGGGTGGCGCGGTGGCGAATCTGAATGAGTCTGAGCCAAGGCGTCTTCGACTGGGAGAAGGAATTCTCCGGAATTCTGTGCACGATTCAATTTAGCGTCTCGTGGGAGTGATTGCAACCTCCGAATTGACCCGGTATCGGTCTGGTGGTGGAGTTGCGTCGGGAAATGCACACCATGAGATTTAAATTGCTCTCACGGGAGTCGCTAATTTATCTTCCTCACTGGCAAAATGGCATTGTACAGGGAAATTTACAGGAAATTCGCGATTTCAGCAGGATTATTTGGAAGAAGTAATTATCTTCTCAATTACGGACTAAAATTCCCCCAGCGTTGATAGTGTAAATTGGGGATCTGAAGAATGCAATGTTAACATAAAACATTAATCTTATTTCACGCTTTCCGGTTCTATCAAGATTATTTTTGCACAGTGAGAAGACAAAAGGGGCGGGGCTCTCGAGTGGGCTGGACATCTACGTGTTTATGTTGTTCTGAAGTTTAATTCCCTCTTCGAATTCTTCGATTAACTCAGCCAAAAATGACATCATACGATTATAAAATGTGAAAAAGAATCACAAGAGGAAATGAAAAGTACAAATCAAGGGGCAGATATAATGGCCGGAAGTGGTGCACAGCTGAAAAATCTCTTTTTTTGCTTTTCTAGGTTATGTTATTAATTAAAGACAGATTTTTCTGCTGATTAAATAACCCTCAAAATCAACATATTTGTGCTCAAGCTGGGAATATATATTTTTCTAGTGCAAATTTGAGCATTCAATTTCAATCATAACCACTAAAATGTAATTTCAGTCGAAACATTGAGATATTCACTATATTTACCCATTTTCAGATTTCAGCAGACAGAAATTGTTCATGAAGAAATTCTTGGACATCAAGATCACATCACACAATTTAAAATCTAAGCATTTGAAGAGCTTAAGTTTTTTGAGACGGAAAAAAACCTAGATTAGATTGCGATAAAGCAGAAATGAGTGTGAAAAACAGTTGAAAGAGACTAAAAAGCAATAGAAAATGCCTTTAAAAGCGTCCGGAATTGTTAAGAATTCTGCTCGAAGACCGTGGAAGGGTCAGGAAGTGGTGAACAGAGTTAAGGCATATTATCCCCTCCTTGGTATTGTGCATAGCTCGAATGGACTCAGTTGGAATCAGTTCACAAGTTGTTAGTGCATCATGAAGAATGAAAGAGGAGTGAATAGTCTAAAAAGGAATTTAAAAGCTATTAAGAGCCTTAAGTGCTCGGATAATTCATCAAACAGACGCGGGAAGAATCACTCCAAAACATTGAATCTATTCCAAAAGGGATTCATACTCATAAACATAATAATCTGACTAATTCGTGTGGATTCTCATTACCAAATTATGTATGAATATAAACTTTCTATTGAGTGTTTCAATATCTCAAATAGGGTTGCATTTTGAGGAGAGTTTAGCCAAATTTTCCTCAAACTCTGGAGAGGTTTTTCCCGTAGTAAGCTCATTAGGTCTTTCACGTATTTCACATAAAACAAACTTGTTGTTCATACAAGTTCTTTATAATGTGAAAATCACCTCTTGACTGCATTATTATATCGCAATATTTTACCAGCGTTTCACCTCTGAGCTATTTTCGCTGGAATAATATTACATATTTGGATGTTTGGAAAATATTTACTCTAACATTATAATTAGAATTTCATTTTATTCAACAGCAACTCTCATGTGTGCAGTGGTGGCATTTCGGGCGAACGAATGGACTCAAGGGGCGCTCCATCTCGAAAAAGTCTCCTGGCAGACACACAAGTGACGGTTTTGCAGCCGCCCACAATTAAATTCCCCTCAGCGTGTGGCCGGCAATCTCTGGCATCTGCATTTTCGGGGTGGAGAGAGAGAGAGAGAGAAAGAGCGAGATGAAATAAATTAAAACACAATTTAATTACGAAACACAAATAAGGCGGATTCCCCAGAGTTGCCCCGAAGCAGAGCCACCTCACATGGAATGTGTAAGTTTAGTAGCGGCGGGGCTGCGGGGTGGCGCCGCCCGCCTGCAGCCTCGGCACATCGGCAGCGAGGGAGAGAGAAATGATCACAATTCCCCACATTCACCTGCACTCATTAATTCTACACGGCGGAGTCGCACTCTGACCTGGATTTCGCCTCCCAAACACCCCAAAATAGACGCTCCGCCGCTCTTCCCCTGGGATAGCTGGGTGGATGCAAAAATTGCAACCTCCTGGCGCGATTTCCCCGGAATTATTTTGTTTGCCTCCGTTCTTGTGTACAGGGATTTAATTATCGGATAAAAATATTTTCGCTGCGCGCTGGATTTATTTTAAAAATTCATCCTCCATATTGTCTTTCACTTTTGGCTCGTTCACTTGATTTTTTTTTGTTTTCCATTCGCGGTACGTACTTGGCTGTAAAATATAATGACACAAAATCCATGCGCGCACAATTAGTTGCAAATAACGTCACTGCATACATTGTGAGTTTTGTTAATCCTCAAATATGTGCACATTTCTTGATCTGATTCAACAACACATGAAAATGATCCGAAAAGCTGGAACGATTGAATGAATTTGGAAAAAATATCAAATGACATGGATTTGCAATTTTTTCAGCGTTTCCAAAATACAATTTCATGCAATGTGTATTCGCTGTGACATTTTCTGCACAATATTTCTCTTCAATTACAATTGGATGGGAACATGACATTTTGTGGATAATATGTACTGCTGCACACTTGCAACAATATTTGATGTTTGCTCATTATTCAAGTATAAAGCAGACATTCGAGAAATAGCAATAAGGAAAGGCACGTAATTATTAATTGTACATGGAAACCATCCAGGGTTTATATTGGAAAATCGCAGAGTGAATTGGTATCGATGGTGACTGATTTAAATTGAAATTATCGTCAAATTAGAGGTTTCACATTATCACAGAATATTGAAATGAGTATTTACGTGTATCACACCGAAACCTGTTGTTGCACTGAACTCGATACTTTGATTGTCACAGTCATCACAGTTCTAATAGACAATTTCTACATTCATAATTACTGGGTGAAATGCCACACTTGATCAAATCAAGCAACAAAGCTCGTGGGATTCGCAATGCATCAATGTGCTTTTTGGGGATGGAAATTAATCACACAGTTCGAAATGGC